TAATCTCTAACATGAAAATCATCAATTTGAAAAATAAATAAATTTTAAAAATTAAAAATAATAATTTTAGTAAGAAAACATTTGGACTTATAGTTTCCATTATTTTTAGATGGAGCATCTACTTGCATCCATTTTTAAGATGGATGCTTTACATTTTCTGGACATATATGTAGAAATGCAATCCAACCCGCCTGAAATAATTTTTAAAAAAAATAAAATAAATAAATGGAGAGAGAAGTTTAGTTGCATCTGAATGTAAAAGCATACCATGACCTTATTAACACCCTAAAATGAACCGGTACATTGTCTTGATAGATTGACTTTCTAAACTTTAAACAATGACACGACAATTGCTCACCGACACTCTTGATGACCGTATCAGACACGCATTGAATGAGAGAGAGAGAGAAAGAGCAGCTATGCCTAGGTGTATAAACATCGAGAAATTTATGCCCAATTCGGTTTCTATGCGGCCAACCAACTGTACTTTTGAAACGGGGGCTTGGCAATAAATATATTTTTTAAATAGAATTTGATTTTAATTTTTAAAGAATATATAATATTTAATATAGAGATAATGAATATGAAAAATTAATAATAATTTCAAAGCTAAAAATAATAAGAGAAATGATCATCTTTTTCATTCATGTGTGTAGGACCTCAAAAGATCACCATTAAATTTGACATGAATTTATGGAAAAGTCAAATCTCACATCCATATGATAACTTTTTAAAGATCCATTTCAACTTTAATGGTGATCTTTTGGGGTTCTACACAGATTAATAGGAGAAGGTCCTATAGGATCATTATCCAAATAATAATTATATTCAGAAAACATTCAAACCGTTAGTTGTACTTGTTTTTAAATGAACCACGTATTTGTATCTATCTTTAAGATGGATGTTTTATACCTATAGATTGTATATTGTAGAAATGCGGTTCAGCCCCCATGAAACAACATTTTTTTTTATTTTTTTATGTTAAATCATCTGAATTGATAACGAAATTCTCAACTTCAGATATTCAATAGCTGAAATCAAGAAGTCTAACTGAGGCTTTGAAAATTTAAAAGAAGTCTTTAAAATCTTAAATTTTGAATCTTGAGGGTCCAAGTCAAAATCCAAATTTCAATTGAGCTCTCAAGTAAAGTTATTTAAAAAATATATAAAATTTGAGAAAAGAAATAAGTCTCAACGGGGAGAACTATAATAACGGTGTATGTCGATTTATTAAAGTACCTGCCATCGAACGAGTCCATACCAGCTTATTCATACACCCCATTTGTACACCGGACACAATAGCAGGGCTGCCGACGGGCCGGTCCACTTCTTGACCGAGCTATGCCCTAGTTTTCAAAGGGCCGGCCTAAGTCTAGCCCAACCTGGACTGAGCCGAAGAAGCATTGGTCGAAGCCTAGCCTTAAATTGGAAAAGAGAAAAAAAAAAAGGGAAAAAAAAAGAAGAAGAAAATAAATAAAGATACGATAGGTAGGAGTGGCAATAGACCCATATCCGACCAAGGATCCGAAGACTGGACCCAACCCAGGCCCAGATATGGGTCCAAAAATTGGACCTGCCGAGTTGGGTCTGGTCCAAATATTTGACTTGAGTCGACCCGACCCCATCAGAATAATAACAAAATAATATTTTAATATACTTAAATAAAATAATTATAAATTGTATTTATAATATTTAAATAATAAAAATTTAATATTTAATTAATATTTAAATAAAATAAAATTTATTTATAATACTTAAATAATATATATTTAACATAATATTTAAATATATTTAAGTTTTTATTTTGGATTAGGTTCAGATCTGGGTCCAATCAATTATGAGATTCGACCCGACCCGTTGCGACCCCTACGACCGGGGCGGCCCTGTCATTGCCTTCGCCAAACCACCCCAGCCCTGCCTAGGGGCGGCAATGGGCTGGGTTCGACTAGACATGGAACCAAATCCAAATACATTCGGGTCCAGGTTTTGGACTCGAATCCGACCCATAGGGTCCCAAAGTTGGACCCATACCCGTAACCATCGAGTCCAAAAGTTGGACTCATACCTGTAAACGTCGAGTTTCGGGTCTGGTCGGGTCCATTGCCATCTTTATGAGCTTCCTTTTTTGTAGCCTACAATGGTGAACGACATAGAACTAATTTTTGAGGGGTGGGCGACTAGAGGGAGAGAGACATTCGATATCTAGAGAGAGCCATGTCTTCAAGAAACTGTGAGAAGGAAGATGGCGATGGGTTTTTGCTGTTTGGGGAACTAAGGGAAGATGAAAAATATTGAAATGATTTTAGAGTTGGGGCTTTGGCCCTTGGATAAACTAAAAATTCGGGTACGAGTACCCGTCTGGTTGGGTATAGCAAGATCCGGACCCGAGACTATCTGAGTATCTTTTATTGGACCTGGACCTTACTCACGGGTTGAAAACTTGGACCCATACCTGGACCTGTATTGGGTATATCTAGCCGGCATGAATCAGGTATGGGTCTATTGCCATCCTTAGCCCTGCCAAGGCAACACCCTCCATTTGTCATTCAATTGTTGGGGAGGGCATTTCTCTTTAAAGAAAGGGTGCAGTTGGCATAAAGATGCATCCGTACAGGTAACGTGTACTTTCAAATTTTATCATGGTATATAATTTTGATGTAAAATATTTTGTAGGATTATCTCAAAATCTATTTTTATATCTAATTATAAAATTTAAAATTTTAAAAACAGTTAAAATCAAGTAGATTTATAAACATACAAAAATAATGAAAATGGACGGTGTAGATAATATATTGTAAAATACACTATTTTTAAGACTTTAAACCCTTTTATTTTTAAATGATTGTACCAATGGTTTAAAAAACGGATCGGTGACCGGGATCGGGCTTCCAAAAAACTGATCCGGATTGGCGAATTGGCGATCCGGATCGGGAATAGGGTGAATCGGTCAGAATAAAGCTTAAAAAAAAATCCGAAAAAATTATTAAAATTCATTATAAATATTATTTTTTTAGGAATTCAATAAGAAATGAGGGTACTCCATTAAGAACTTTCTTATTTTTGAATGAATATGCGAATATTGATATGTTCTTTCCCTGCATGAACCGCCATTCAGCATTTAATTTACATCACACATGGAATAAGTATATCAATATACATGGACTACAATAAAGCATAAAATTAGTACCATATGATCTAAAAATAAAATGATAGACGACGTTATTGTTTTTCTTGGTCACGCTGGTGCCATTGATTGAATTCGTTTAACAATTCCTTGATTCGATCTAAAAAAGAATCATCAATATTAGCAGGCGTCTGATTATTCCCAAATCCTTGAGTGTTAGTGTTTTGTTGTGCTCCCAATCTAAAATCCCCGAAGATTGTCCATCCTTCATGCTCA